ATGTAAGACCACGTCACCGCTGAAGAAAACAAAGGCAAGTTGTTAGTCACGAGAAAGAAATGTGAGTTTTTTTGGATGATGAGATGAATAATGTTACGTCTAGAGGAAGAAAGAAAATAAACCTTTCCTACCATTGTAGCAGATGTTTGCTCTCTTACTCCTCATGTGAACAGCATTACATGGAAATAGATCGATGACGGTTAAAATAATAATGTGTGATTATATGAATGGACATGTAAGCCAACTAAGTTAAGTAACAGCTCAGGAAAAGATTGTTGTTAAAAGAAAGCCAGAGTCTTTCCAGTAAAGATGGGCTGGATTTTCTTAATGAAAAAATTAGAGCTACTTCAGAACAGTATTGCTTAATATCTTAACTCGATGTTAATTTTCTATAATCTACAATACATAAAATCTTAATATTTAGAAAATGTAGAAATCAGTGCCCAAGGAACCAATAATCAGAGTACCCTATATCTAAATCTTCAGACCCTCGGGCAGCAGTGCTTTGAACATAGTCATGAAAATAAATGCGTGGTTTCAGGAAATAATTTGTCTGCAGCCAAATGCAGGTTAAGCACGCAAAGAAGAAATCTCGAGTGAACATGATCCGGAAACATTTCTGTCTTCCAAATCCAATTTTAAATCAACTGGGATGAAATAAAAACTATTCTATGGTAATGATATAAAATTCTGTTTAAAAACATTTAGTCATCGTGTTCTATTTTGCCAGAACTCACTTCTTTTAGCAGTCAGGTGCACAGAAGTAATTTCAGTAAATTGAGATGGCATTGTTTATTTACAAGATTATCTTGTCTCTTTTATAATCACTTTGGATTTGACTTGATCCGTGATTTAAGAGTAGTAACTGCCAAAGCTTCCTCTTTTACACTACTATCATCAGCATCACAAGGTAGTTATATGTCAAATATTGCAATATTTTCTATACATTTAAACTGCAGTTAAATAAGTGTTACTGATTACACAATGCCAAAATTATTAGAAAATATTTATTTTCCCAGTGTGCTAAAACCCACCTTGTTGACATCTGATTTTTTAAAAAGCATCACATGGGAACTCTAAAAGAAACTGAGCCTGCAGAGGTAACATCATGGCCATCTCTTCATTTTAAAGTTTTTCATTGTTACTGAAATTGTCAGAAATTATGAATTGGGTCATTTGAATAACAATAAAGCAACCAAACCAAGAGTAAAAGTTAAAGTTTCCATAAAATAAGTTTCTTACTCAAAAGCAGAAAAGATGTATTTATAATGAGCATCAATTTATCACTTTATTTCAAATCTGTTTGTATGCAATAGAAATCCTTCATTAAATCTAATGTTGCAATTTATTTATTTAAGATATTTATCCATTTGTATCAGTGTATTTTTTTACTAACTGTACAAATTAAGCAAGTATGGAAGACGAGAAACCAAATCCTGAAATAACGGGTTTTGCTGAAAAGCAATGAGCATTAAGAGATGTCAGCTGTAGAAACTTACAGGCAATCATCAGTTTGTTTTCCTACAAACGTATAATTAATTCTACATTTTCAAACGTTAACCCGTAGCCTTAGTGTCTGAAGGCCAATATGTTACACAAGCATTGTTATTCAGTTGCGAAAAAAAGGACCCCGCCTTTGAACCGGGTGGTTCCCGACGTTCTGGGCTCTGAATAAGAAACTGCCCTCAAGTGAACCTGCACCTCCACGTCCCACATTGTTAACATACCAGCCATCAGACTGTCCACTGGGGCCCATTGGATGATGATGATGCCTAATAGTTTTAGCATGTGCTAGAGTTTGTGCTCATTGTGGGGGCGAGGGGACATCCACGGAGCTGCACAGGATGCGACAGGTGACCCAGTTGAAGATATTAGCATTGTTGAGATAGCCGCTGCACATTTCTCGCTCTTCAGGGAGGAAATTGCGTAAGGGCGAGGCCCAGGAAAATACAAATCAGGAGTTACAAATGCTCCATTTCTTCACACAAGTATGGATCAACTTGCATAACTAAACATCAGAAGACAGACTATTCTGATCTGAAAATCAATTTACTGTTTCCTTTGCTTTTGGGAAATGGTTTTATTGCTGTCTTCGAAAAGGCCCCTTGGGGGTTAATGCAACAGATACTAAACCCTACCTGTTCTGGTTAGAAACTGTTCAAAACCAGTTGAAACCTGGTCCAAAATGGTGCTCTCACGGGATCACAGAAGAGCAGCAGTAATGGAGGTGAAATAGCTGCGTCTCCCTCACTAATTCCTTCTGTCTCCCGACCGCTTCCATCTCCTTCTGGTGATTACAGTTAATTCACAGAGCTGCTGAAGTGCATTACACTGACAATACAGAGAGACCGAGACAATGTAACTCAGCTGCCAAAGATGCTTTTTGGTGATCAATAATAATTCAAGTCTCATCGATTTCACAGAAAACCTTTACTTTGAACCATTTTGGGGGTTTGCAGTAAACGTTTCCACAGGTTCGCGCTAAAAGACTTAAAAGAAAAAAAATGAAAAAGTCAACAAGCCTTTATATTCAGATTTACTCATGCTTTTTCACAGCCCTGGCCAAAACAAGATCGTTTCTAAACATGGTGATAAAATAAGAATATATGTATATATGTATGTGACACATCCTTTGTATCTTTGAGCCAGAGAGGCTCCCTCTGCAGGAGGACCCACAAACATGAGGGGAAACAAGCTATCAGATTGGCTGAAATTAGTTATGAATCAGGAAATTGTTTATTGTCAACCTTTCCAAAACATCCCCATTGACTGGCATTACACTTTTTAAAAGTGGGGATCTCCGCCTTCAAATGGTAAACCGTCCAATCAAAACTGAGAATGCCCATGCTCACTTCCTTAAAGAGCCTATTTTGAGGTGGTGCATCCTTTTGAACCAGAATCAAGATGGCTGACATGAGGGTGCACACTGACTGGTGCCATGGTGGGAAAAGAAGATTTAAAAGAGAGGAAAAATAATGCACTGTTGTTGTTAATGACGACTATTATACCCTTAAGATAAAAAAGCCCTTCCTGACACTCTTCATGAGTGTATTTAATGCTTCTTTGCTTCTATCCATAACTCTTATGATGATCTTCAGAAAGCTAACCAGCAGCTCATTTGTCCATGCACCATGGCTGGAAAAGTAGTCGTGAATGTCTTTAGTCATTGACATTTGTGGTGTCAGAATGGAGTGGTTCCAACATTTGCTTCGCTGAAGGAGTTAGACTCATTTAAGTGAGAGGAAAATGTATCTTCAACATGACCGACACAGAGCTCATGAATGACCTAAAGGTCTTTTTCCTGAATCCAATTCATGATGTAAAATGACTTTCAGCAGAACTTTCAGGTTTTTATTTTATTTTATAAAGACTGATTTTCTTGGCTTTGGTCATCTTTTTATTTATTTTTGGTCTCTTTATGACCTATTATAAGACAATAAAGAGATGTGTGCTGAGATAAGGCCCTCTTCATATTCTATTGTCCTACTGCCGTGTCTGGACTGGACACTGAAAAAAGAGGTTATAGTGAGGATAAGTTATTCTATCACAGAAATACTATTTTAACTTTTGAAATTAGTTAGGACAGCAGCATCTGCCACAACTCTGGAGTTACAATTAAAACACACACATATCAAGTTTAATTTTGATTTTTGAAATTCTATAAAGTTTGATCTTCGTTGATTCACTTCTTCGGCGAGTGGATTCTTGGCATTTTTATGCACCAGAGCTTTTTGCAGAGGAACGATAGATCTACCGTCCATCATTTAAGCAACAAGTTGAAAAAAAAATTCAAAGTAATCCAGTCTTGGATTAAAATCCAACTAAAATGGAAATATAGCAAAAATATCCATCCAAGCAGCCGCAGAATAAAACCATCATCCTTTTTGTTACACAGGAGGGAACTTTTGGGACATACAAACAACATTCAGTTGACACTTATGTGGATTTGATCCACTTGTCCGGTACTGGCAAAAGTCATGACACTACCTCAGCAATAATTTATGAGTAAGCCAAAGGTTTAAACAGACTTTATGGATATTCCATTACAAAGGCAAAAAAAATTGCAAGAAAAAAGATTAAAGATTGTTCCTCCTTGTGTCTTTTGCAGCTGCATGACTTAAACAATGGGAGCAGACTTATTAGCTGCAGCAGAGGGAGCGTGCTGTTAATCATCCCACAGAAGAACCGTTCTGGGACGAGCTGCTGCTCTCTGTCAACAGACAGGCTGCACCTGCACCCTCCACACAACCTCCAACCGGAGGAGAGGGGCTCAGAGTATCAAATCTAACAGATGCAGGTCCCCTACACTCAGTTTCTGCTGTCTTTAAAGCAAAAAGACACAAATTATTTCTGTGCATTTTCAGCCTTATTTGGCTTCCTGCTCAATTTCCTTAGCTGAGTAGAATTCTGAAAAAAAAAGCTAAATTGGAAAAAGTTATACTTAGAGTCTGCCTTTTTTTGCTGGTGCTTTTCATCTTTGGCTTAAATATACAAAAATTCTGTCAAATCACAAAGCTTCAAACCCAAAAGAAACTCAGTGGAGGCTGTCTGTGGACATGAGAAACTAAAGGCATCTTATTCATTTATTGAGCACACTAAGGGGTTAAATGGCTTTCAGTATTCTGGGATTCAAAAGTTTCACTGAATCACACCTTGTCCTTGTAGTTTCATGAGACGATGACCAACATGTTTGCCTTTTATGCTCTGAAATTCCTTATTATTCTGCTCCAAAATAGCATTAAATGCAAACGTTACAAGTCTTGAGCGTTTTTAAAACACCTTTATTTCATTTTGGATTACATTTGTGGACTATTTAAGTTCCCCATGTCACATTTAGAAAGTGTTTAAAAGTCCAATAATGAACCTCCCAGCACTTTGTGGAAATAAAGAAATGCTGGAAGTAAGTTTGGATTTAAAGGCATGGAGCGTTTCAATGTGTCAGGCCTGGAATAAGAAATGCTCCTGGGAGAGAGGAGGGTGAAACCGGGTCTGGACCAGCGTGCAGCATCACATCCTGTCTGACTGGACTGGGGGTAAACTCCGAGTGGAGGCGAGGAGGGAGCAGATCTTTCTGGGAGAGAGTTTGGGAAGGAGCGCTCAAGCACCGGAGTATTTTCAAAGTTCATCAAATCGGATTGTTCCTGCTTGGAGGGGAACAAAAAAAAAAGAAGGAAAACGTGTACAAGACAATGGTCCGTGGGATTATCTGGATACTTTTTCCGTGATGCTCCGGATAAACTTTGACTGGACGATGGTTTCGCTGCTTTTGGGAGGTTTTCTGTGGTTATTTTTTCTTTCATATCCCTCACAGGCCATCTTCTCTTACTTCGCAGTCTCCAATATTTATACCATAGATGGCAATTAACATAATCTCGCGTTTTCTGTTAATTTCGAAGAGTGAAGGACAACACGCAGTCCGGATTGCCCCCCAAACGCAGATTTTTGGCAGTTCATGAATGCATCCGTAATCACCCAGGGGAGCCTCAAGTACTTAAATGGGTCCATCACGAAAAAGAGACAATCAAGCTCCTTTATGTCTCAAGATCAGCTGCAGTTTCTGCACATTGTCTGTTATGAATAGACCGATCTCCAATTGAACCTCTTCACTTTGGAGATTTTTCGATTTTCGATTATACAGCTATTGAAATTAGGATGCGCCGCTCCTTTCTCCCTGCGCTTGCTGGTTCGGTTGGCTTTTTTTGATTGACAGATGAAATTGACACTCGGGTTGCCTCTTATCAAGCGAAGCATTTCATTCCGCCGCTAATTGCAGATATAGTGCCATCCTTTTCTTTTCTCTCCGCGTTTGATTGCAATACAACCTCCCATTGCACACAAGAGGAATGATCGATCATATGTTTAGTTTTTCTCCCCCCTTCTTCTAATTGCATCAAAATTTCTTTTGTCGCCAGGGTTTAAATGCAGGAGAAACTGTAATTCCTTGTTTTGGACCGGATATAGTGTGGGTTGGGGCAGGGATGCGTAATGCGCAGAGAAAGCTCCGTTTCCTCTCCAAATAGACGGCGTTTGAGACCCAAAAATGGTGAGTCGCAAAACATCTGGACGAATTTGGGTTGCAAGTCCTTTCGTTTTGTTTTGGTAATTTTTTTTTTTTTGGCTTTCTGTTGCTTTTTATTTACAACTCGCAGCGGGCTGAAGCATAAGTTTTTAAGAGGAGGGCAGCCGGCACCGCGCTCCTGACCAGACATGCAGCCAAACCTCCAAACGCTTCATATCTCTGTTTGCATTGGTTAAAAGATTAGAATAATGCATACCTTATTATATTTCTGCATGTTTTCCTTTCTATTCCGTTGAGTCGTGCAGGACTGATGCTTTGTTAAACTCTTTCGTTTGTTTGTTTTTTTTTGGGATCAATGCCTTTTAACACTTTTGCTCCGAATCAAAGCAGAGCAATTCAGTTTTTTTCTTTTAAAAAAAAAGTAAATCTGAAAATAAGAAAAACTAATTTAAGCTATTTAAATTTGGCAATCGGTGCGTCTTTTGCGCAGTCTAAGTCGGAGGTGAAGAAGGAGTCGGCGGAGTCCAGCCCGTCGGAGGCCGCCTGTCTCTGCTCTCCTCCGGCGGCCAAGAACCAGTGCGCCAACTGCGGCATGGACATCCAGGACCGGTACCTGCTGAAGGTCAGCCATTCCTCCACAGACCCACACTAAACATCTGCCTTTTGCCCCACGTTTCTTGTTTGAAACGATCCATACCAAGAACTGTAAAGTGGGTTCCGATGTATGGACCCTCTGATTTGCTTTTCGATATTCCGGTTAAAGGCTGCGTAATTTCATCCCGCAGGTCAACAACCTGAACTGGCATTTGGGCTGTCTGGAGTGCTCGGTGTGCAGAGCCTCCCTGCGCCAGCACAGCAGCTGCTACGTTAAAAACAAAGAAATCTACTGTAAACTGGATTATTTCAGGTAAGGGCAGTGTTTTTTCTGCACCCAAAAAACAAAAACAAAAAACAAATAAAGAAAGCATTTTACCCCATGATAATGTGAATTTTACGAAGACATTCGTGTAAACGAAAATAGACTGTTAGTGTCTGATTAAAAGACATTTAAGAAGGATTTAGTTAATCTAAGTTCCAAAATACATGAAATACTATTTAAATTAAAAAAGATTATTTCAGTTTTCATTTGAGAACACTTGTTCTTTTCTATATAAGAAACTATTTGTGTATTCCGTGTGCATCAGGGTGACAAAACACAAATAATTCTCTCTGAAACTGACTTGTAATCTATGTAGTTTTATGTCGACTGGCAAAACGCCTTTGAAATAATAATAATAATGCAAGTCAAGGGAGAAAAGAATGGAAACTGGTTTGCTTTGCTTTCGTCTCAACTCGCCAACAAAGGTTTTCCTTAAATATATTTAAACTTTTATTTCAACCTTCATATCTTTGATCATAAAATAAAAATGCACAGAATCCAATTTTAACATTTTTTTTTTCAATATATTCCGGTGTTTTGGAAGGATATCCACACATTGAAAAAAGAAACGCTTCAATGTGAGACAACAGAGAATAAATAGCTTCTTCCCTAGAAAAACAAAAACCTAATTAATTATTACAATTTAATTAATTATATTTTTGTTTGTACAGAAAATTGATCTCTTCACATGATCTGGCTCATTTATCTACTTTTGGTTTAAATGTTTGGATAAAGATATAACTGGGTGGCAAACCAGGCTAAAGCCACAGCCTGAACAAAGTTTTTATTTCTTCTTTTTTTTAAATAACAGTGCTTTTAAGCGTTCCCATTGATTACCACTATCTTTTAGACAGTTTCGATCATTCACTTGATTATAAATGTATTATTTATACTCACTGAAATCATCAGTGGCTCTACTTGGTGGCCCTCTCTCATAAAATGACCTTACCTGAAAGAAAGGTGTAATTACTTCCCCAAAACAGGAAACACTTTGGAGGACTTCAAAAGGGTGATTGGGCATGACTTATTGATTTTTGATCAGTCAAAGTATAATTAACGCCTCATCTTTCTGCTCCCGTTTGGCTCAAAATATGAGGGGGAAATATCTCTCCAAATAATTCCATCCTCCTTTTCTCTTTTTCCCCCAATGTGTTTCTTTTGTGTATGTATTTTTTCGATTACGCCACCTAAATGAGCCTAAGGTGCGCGCACCCGGACGCACGGCGGTCCAGCCCTCACCTGCTGCTTTCCTCCTCCTCCTAACTCACAGTAGGTTCGGCACCAAGTGCGCGCAGTGCGGCCGGCAGGTGTTCGCCAGCGACTGGGTGCGCCGGGCCCGCGGCAGCGTCTACCACCTGGCCTGCTTCGCCTGCTTCTCCTGCAAAAGGCAGCTGTCCACCGGCGAGGAGTTCGGCCTGGTGGAGGGCAGGGTGCTCTGCCGCAGCCACTACGACATCATGCTGGACAACCTCCGCAGGGCCGCCGAGAACGGTAACGCACACAAACACATACCTACAGACACACGCCTTCACACTGAGGATGAATAACCTTCTGTCAACTACCAGATTTACGTTCCAAAAACGCTGTTTTTTCCTCTTTTTACTGTGGATTTCAGGCAGTCTCATTGATGAGACTGATGCATATTTTCAATTGTAAAAATTCACAGAGCAAAGCCTCTCAGTTCTGCAGAACTTTCTCGGTTTGAATTATTACAATTTAAATCAGATTCAGGCTCTTTATCTAAACCAAGATCAGATCAATAAAACATAAGTCTGCTTTATCACAAAGAGCTCATATGATAAAAGTCAAGCATTTTTTTTCGTGCTGGAATTCCAAAATAAAAGATAACAAAGAGGAAGAAATTAAAGCACTCATCATAAAACCTTTGACTTGTCACAACATGGAGGTTACGCCCGCTCCACTGGTGTAAATTTCTAAGTAATTTGGGTCATCCAAATGAGGAAAAGTGAAATAAGGGCTTTTTGTGGTACTGGGGAAACTATTGTTTTCCACCCCCTGATCTGAGCTTCTGTTAGAAGGTTTGACAGAGAATTCTGATTATTTCAGCTGTGAAATGTGCTCCTTGTCTCAAAGTCAGTGAGAGATTCTCATGTGCTCTTTTTTGCTGTTCTTCTATTCTGATTTTTCCTTAAAATTAGGCTTTGAGATGGACCTTTGCTGGACAATGTCACTACACCTGTGAAAGAGGACAATATGATAGCTTTTAGATGAGCAAAAGTCAAATGGGTGTGCTTTTAAAGGTGGGAAATGTTTTCCAAAATTGTGGCAAGGAGGATTTTTTAATGATTTTACAGCAGTGTTTGGGCATCTTCAGTTACACGCCGTGTACTTTTGCGTATTGTCCCAGTCTGATGTCTACATTTCCATTTATGGTCCCCGTTTGGTTGGTCAACAGGGACGGGCCTGACTCTGGAGGGAGCGCTCCCCTCGGACCAGGACTGCCAGCCCAAACCGGCCAAGAGGGCGCGGACATCGTTCACTGCTGAGCAGCTCCAGGTAGGCCCAGATTTACTGACTGCACATTTTTTTTTTTTTTAAATGTGTGTTTGATTTTTTTCCTCTCAGGTGATGCAGACCCAGTTTGCTCAGGACAACAACCCTGACGCCCAGACGCTGCAGAAACTGGCAGAAATGACGGGACTGAGCAGACGAGTCATACAGGTGGGCCAGGACCACTGAGAAACTGTAATATGTCATTATAACATGTAAATATATCGGAGTGGAAGATTCTGGCTTCGTAAAACACTTTACATGTTCAATAACACAATTATCTTTGGTGTTGATTAGGTCTGAATATGCAAGTGAGTTTGCAGTTAAAGGGAAAAGCTTAAGCAGTTGCATCCGTCTGATTAGCAAGAAACGGAATCCAACAAAAGATCTGTCATTGGAAACAACGCAAGGAGAATAAAACTCCTTTGAGAATAATTCAACTCTGACCACGGCAAAAGATGATGGCTGTTTTCAGTCAGCTGTGTCCAAGATGTGGAAAAAGGACAAGTGAAAAGGGAAGTTTGTTCAGAGGTTAATATCACGTTGACCCAGGAAGCTATCAACCAATGAGGACATAAAGCTCATGCCAATATTGCTTTAACTTAAAAAAGCTCAAAAGTGGTTCTTGATCACACCAAACTGCAGAATGGAAATGGCTGAAGGAAATTAGTTTACGTCCAAAATCTCATCGCTCCCACTTAAACAGGAAAAAACAGTGTGTTAATGAGAACGTGTGAAGATGGCCGTCACTATATGTCACAGTCATGGAAGATATGGGTTGATGTCAGGTAAAGGAGGGGGGGGGGGGGGGGGGGGGGGAGTTGTGCCTGCCACAGAGAATGTAGAGGAGAAATACTGGTTACTTTTCCCGTTCCATCAATCCAAACCAGGTTGGTGATAGTTTTTCAGCAGATTCATGCATTTAGCAGACGCTTTTATCCAAAGTCACTTACAAAAAGATGATGATGAGATCAGATCTCCAGGAAATATAGCCACCCACTGACATTGCTGACGGTCTTAATTTGTTATACAGTGTATGGTGGAAACTTAAAAAAAAAGAAGCTAAAACAAGGAAAGGTATGCGACAAAGATCTGATCAGAACTGAGCAATTCAGTGCCTAAAATAATTCAAGTTCTTTTGCATGATTCCATATTTTTGCCTCTAACTCAGGTTAATAAAGGAACTCTTCAAAAATGTTTTTTATTTATTTTTCATTAAAAAAAATGGAATAGTTTAATATTACATGTTTATTTTTCAGCACAATAAATCTACAAAATTCTTTGGGTTTGTTCTGCCCTAATTTTTCATTTACATTTTTCTATTAATTTTATTTTACAAGAGTTTGTTTTTAGTTGAAAAAGGATGATGTTGAGGAAAGAAAAAACTGTTGTTGATCATCATCATCTTTAAAAATATTACCTATAAAAGAATTTAATGAATGACATCCCCATAAAGCTCTCATAGGAAAGGATTTAGGCATCCAATGCCAGTTTTCCACACTAAGTTGCATTGAGTCTTTAAAAGCCAGCAGGGCTTCAACAAGCGAATAACTGAGATCTGTTGAGAGAAGCAAATCCCAGTTCTCTGCATGTCCTCACGGTCTGTAATATTTCCCAGGTTTGGTTTCAGAACTGTCGGGCGCGGCACAAAAAGCAGCCGCCGCCGAGCGGCTTTTCACAGAACGCTCCGCTCTCCAGGATGCCTCCCTCTCTGCCGGAGGACATCCACTACTCTCCCTTCAGCAGCCCGGACCGGCCCCATCTCCTGGCTCTGCACGGATACTTAGACAGTGAGTGCCTCGGCTTCTTCGGCCTTCTAAAATGGATGATTTGTAATCAGAAGCAGGCAGCATTTTCAACAGGATCCTTTGTAAGAACCATTTTCAAGCTTTCAGCTGCAGTCATAGCAGGACATAAATTCAGAGGTCTTTTATGTTTTGGTATGAAAAATGCTGAACCTGTGTGAAATCCTGACTCATTGCCATAACCTGCTTTGCTTTGCTTTGCTTTGTGTTTCTATTGCTGAAAAACCTGTAAAAGACCAGACTATGAAATATGACGCTTTCTTGCAGGGTAAACACCCCAAAAAAAAAAAGAAAGAATTTGAATTGTGTAACAATGAAGTCTGTTTTGAGAAGAAAGCCGGTGTGTCGGTTCAAAAGAAAAGCGTAGAAAGGATGAGCTGGTAAATGCTCCACATTGCCTGATTTTTTTTGTTGCTTTAGACCAGTGTCCCGGCGTTGTGGTGCAGAAATACAGTCATTTATTTTGTCCGACGGTTACCGTGTATTTCAGTGCCAGATTCTAAGCAAAGGACGAAGTTGAGAAAGTGTGGGGTACGATGGGTTCTAAACTTGGTTGTCGCTTGCTGTCCACTCTTGCCTTCCAGTGGGTAATTCTGAGCAAAGTCTAGTTACAACTGGGAGAATTTCCCTTTTTTATTTTCATGTAATTTAAAATGCAAGCCTAATATGGCCAAAAGGTAGACATAGCAAATGAAAAACACAGACATGTTTAGCCTTTGGGATAGGACTGAGAACAAATTGTAATGACTGATCTTATAGTTTTCAAATTCAAAGCAACTTAAAGTAACCAGAATTCATGGACTGTACACACGGGGTGGTACCCTTCAGATCAAGCAGGAGTTGATTATTACCTCTGATTAATCCTATGTGTGACATTGATTTTAAATTGCTAAATATATAGTACTGATAGGTAATTATCTTGATTCTATGCATCTTTAATTAGTAATTAACTGCTCTGCTTACACTTTTGGAAGAACTTTACAGTGTTATTTACTAAATACTTATACCATGCATTGTTATGTGAGTAAGTTTACTGAAATGAATGATAATGATGAGAGAAAGAATCAAAATTCTGCACAGAACAGGCCAAGCTTTTCTTGTGACATACAATGGTAATTTAAGCATGCCACCTGTTGATCCAGATCCAGTCCTCCCGGGACACAGAATTGGATTAAGCGGGTGTGGAGAATGGATGGATGGATTCTAAGGGACCTTTTTGTTTTCTTCATGAAATAAACTAGCCCATATCTCAATAGATAAAAAGGGTCTAAGACTGTATGACGTTGCTTCTTTTTTTTTTACAAAGTTGGTGAAATGTGTGAATTATGGGCATGTCAGTTCATCAGGTTGCTGTAATTGATGCAGTGTGTTGGCATTGTCTTGCTGAAACATGCAAGGCCTTGGCTGGATGGCTGGATGTATATAACAAGCTGGTTGATGCCCCCAGTCTTTGGTATGGAGGATGTTGAGGATATGGAGGATGTGGCGTCTGTGACGTCGAACAGGAGTCAACATTTCAGTTCATCTGATCACAGAACAGAGCTGTGGCCCAGATTACAGGCCATTGTTTCTGGATAGTGCCCACACAATCCAGAGAGGCTGCCAGTGGAGCTTTAACCTGCATTTAAAGCTGACTGTGAACGCAGTTTGCTTTTCCAAGATTTCTTTAAGTGTTCCTCAGGCCATGCGACGATTTTCATAATAGAATCATGTCTTTTTTGATTGCAGTGCTGCCTGAAAGTACGAAGTGCATCTGTGTTGATTGCTACCCTCCTTCACATAATTAGCTTGTTTGCTTTGGAGGGACAGCACAGAAAAATAGTTTCATTCTATTTCCCTCATGTCAGATTTGATGCTACAGAATATTCCTCCTTTTTTATTCCTGAAATGAGATTTTAATGTTTGCTTTCACCGGGACAAAGCGCCAGTAGTTATCAAAGTGTTTTTCTAACAAGTCATACAGAACTAAAGGAAGAAATTATAGGCTTTGTTTAAATATTTAAAACATGGGTTTATGATTGTTAGAAATGAGTAATTAGTAGTTAACAGATTAAAGCAGGCAATGGATTTAAAACTTAGCATCAACTTTTGAAACTTGATTGTAACTTGACCATGTCTCCCGTCTTAACTGAACTCATTTATGTAAATGACTTTAGCCACTACTTGACGAAATGACTGTAACATTTCTGTGACGCTGCTTTGTGCTTTTCCTCTTGGTCGTGCAGCGCATCCCTTCTCCGTCCTCGCAGCTCCGAGTCATCTGACGCATCCATCGATCTCTTTGCCACAGCTTCCCATCAGCCGCTGATATCCGTCGCCGTGTGAGACGGAATTGTGAAAAATTATCATTTGGGCCGTCCTGTCGGTGGTGTCATCTGTTTGGGACTCAGCAAGATCTGTGGGATTCTTCATTGTGAGACTGCTGCAAAATAATGATGAGGATGCTGCCTTCAAGCCAACGAAGGAGCTCTGTTTTTTCCCTCTTTTTTCTCACAAAAAGAAGGGGAACTTTTTTTGTTCTCCTTGTTAACGGGACATAAAGCATTGCGGTCAGGTCAGGAGATCTGTTTTTCTGCTCTTCCTTTTGATTTCTGCAACACAAGCAATCAAAGTATTAGAAGAGTGTCTTAACAGTGTTACAGTAAAACCTCAGCATTGTTTTTTTTTTTTTTTTGTGTCAGTGGTGAGCATTTGAAGCTTTACTGGTGTTGGTTGTTGTACTGTCAGAAAACAGAAACTTTTATTTATTCAGAGCAAATCTTTACTTCAAAAAAGCACTTTTAAATGTGTGTTGACATGGGATTATTCAGTGATTGTACACTGTAAATACTTCTATGGGTTAATAAAATGTATAAGATCTGTTATGAGGCTCATTGCAAAAGCAAGAAGGAGAAAGTTCATATTATATATATATATTGTAAGTGTGAAAAATGTGTGTCAAGAGGCTTTTCTTTTTTACTTTACCTGTCGCAACTCAATCTATAAATCCACTGTGAGAGGCCAAGTACCTGTACTAACCTGTCATTGAAAGCAATATCCTACCGTAAACCTGCACATCATCTCCAACATTCATTGCGGTACTTCACAGGATGTATGATCAGTCCCACTGTGAAAACAATTACAGACGCTTTCACTCCAAGCGTGGCCATCAATCAGGCAGTTCACCTGCTTTTATGAGCTCTTTTAACACAGATAATCCACCAGTATTACATTGATTGACAGCACTTAGGCTGCCGTGATGGGAAGAATGAATGGGATACTGTGAGTTAAAGGAGATCGTTAGATCCAGATTTCCCAAAGTGGATCAATACGACTTTTTCCTTTTAAACGTCTGTATGTTCCCAGGGTGCCGAAACTGAACAAGAATTTGCGGCTCAACGTATTCTGTGGACTGTGTGTAGTTTACATTAACGTTGGATCACTGAATGGTGACAGTTTGATCTGTATTTTGTTCTTGCTGATTTTAGTTGTGCATATTTGTAGAATATTGAAGAGTGAGTCAGGTAAGCCTTGTAAGATAGACATGATATTTTTAAAGTTCAAAGAAATCTAGTTCTGACCTTTTAGAGACTGAGAGGGGCCATTTGTAACATCAGTTTTTTTTCATCTAACCTTGGATAGAAAGAAGCTTACACCCACTCAAAGAATGGTTTAAGGGATGAAGTCACTGATATTTTAAACATATCAGTGTGTAGAATACATTTAGAGCATTTTCCTTTAAAATCAAACCTTTGATTTTCCCAAAAATGCAGAAGCAGGAGTTTTGTGGGTGTTGGAGGGAAGTCAGTGCTGTGTTTACCAAGATGGCACATTGCAAATTCTCACAAAGATTCCTAGATTCTGCTCAGGCATTTAATAGAGACACAAAGATATTGTCTGAACCAGGTGTGTATGAGTCTCTGGATCGTTTTGTTTTTCGGTGGGAGCAGTGTCTTAGAATCTCAGCGAGTGTGCCATGAGTATGACTCTTTTCTTGCCTAAACTTTATATTTCAATGAAACCGTCTTCCTCCAATCAATCGCTTTCAATCAGTTTAGGAAGAAACCTGCGCAGGAAAAAGATGCGGCTCCTTGTGAAATCTAAGAACAAAAGGCGTCTTCCTGCTGAGCAGAGATGATTATCAGGCTGGCACAGTTTGGGCCACCTGCCAGCACTACACTGTACAAACGCACCCCTTCGTTCCTCCCAGATATGAGCACTTAAGGCAGCATTTAGGCATGTCTCCCTCCATGTACGAGCATCCCTGAGCGTTTAAGCCCCCCCAGTTTTTGTCATTCTGTCATGCGTCTGCCTCGGTGATTGGCAGCCTCGAGTGGTTGCAGATGAAAGCGGGCCCCCGTGCTAATGAATAGGCCCCTGATTGCAGCGCTGCTCGCTCGGGGAACTGCAGCCTAATGAGCAGATACACTGCAGTGCCCCTCGTCTCCACGTATTCACATGTCTCTCCTTCATGCTGATGAGCTCTCTTCAGCACAACAGTCAACAAAACCTCTGTGGAAGATTGCAATATGAGCCATCTTCATCAGCGAGACCCCCCCCTCCTCTCCCTCCCTCTCCCTCCACCAACCCTCCTCTTGCCCAAGTTTTTTTTCTGATGCCGCCATGTGCCGGCAGCGTAACTGAACTGATGATGCTATGCAAAGCACCTAAATATGGATGAAAATGACTCAGTTTCTACAATTAGAATTGACAATGTCAGAATAAGGTTCATGTTAGACAGCTATTATTGAGGTTTGCTAATATGTTCCACTATTTTTTGGAGGGGTTGAATAACATTTTGAAGACAGATTCTCCAAAACACTATTCCCCCAACTTGAATGGAAAATGTCATGAGATCAAGGAAATTATGTGAAGAAGGACTCATATGTGTGGGTGAGGTGGAAAATGACCAAAGATGCACTACAAAAACCACATTATGTACTTCCCTCTGTGTATTCCAAGGTTGTTTAAATTCTCCTCTGGATGAAATATGACTGTAGATTTAGTTTTCTTAAAAAACGCACCGAGGACTTGTCCAGCATTTGTTTAATTCATTCAGCTTTTCCTAGCTAAAATGATCCTTCAACAAAATAGATTTCAGTAATTTCATCTTTTCCCTATTATCAATGGTTTTGTTGTCTTTGCAAAGTAGCAAAAGCCACAAGTTTATTTTACAGGATGAAGTGGAAAAATAGGGCATTTCATCCAGGAAGCAGGAATTTCTGTGATTCCTGATTGTGACAGAAAAAGAAACATACATTTTCCACAAATTTAAGCGAAGCGAGCACTTGTTGTTTAGAATCTCTTGATTGGGTTACAGCTATCTTTTTTTAACTGCACTTATTTCTGAATTAAATACCATTCAACATGGTAAGGTTGGCTAAAACTGCTGGAACATCAACTACCAGCATAGGTGAGCCCATCTGCCCGCTTACAGAATGAAGATTGAAAGTTATTTGAAATAATCAACTGCAGTGAGTTTCCCCCAGAGACTTTCTGAAAGCACCATAGTATGATGACATTCAACAGCTGTTTGGTGACACACGTCTGTGGGTTTACTATAAAATATCACTCAGAATTGGACGATTTTAGGCTCCAGATCCGGACCACGTCGACACACACTGGTTCCACAGTTAACACTCCATGAGTGAGCGTTTTTAGATGAAACGTCCTCTCTTTGGGAAAACTGCACCACAGTAAATACATTTTGTGGCTTAGTGTGTTTTGTTTAAATGTGGATATTGCACAGGCCTACTGTCTCAACCTGGCTATAAAAGCTCGGCACAACTGGATTCGGTTTCCAAACATAGCAAAGTGAATTTATTTGTCCCTGGTCTATATGCCAGTGTAAAGTGTCCCGTGGAAATTTAGAGCAATATACAAAAGGGAACAAAAATTATGAATCTTACAGTAGCAGGGAGCATGGGGGCTGACAAAAAATGCTAAGAGAAAACTAGAACTTATGATTCACTTCACCCAGGCTGACAGCCAAGAGTGCACTGTGCAAAAACAAACACAGGAGTCCACAGCAGGTTCCCACTATGTGTTTATTCTGGGGGGACGACAACTTTTGAAATATCACAGCCCTTTGGTTTATTTATAAGAAGCTGGGGAAAGGTCTAAATCTCTCTCCTGAGACAAGTTGGAAGCAGAAAGTGCTGCACGGCAGGTTTAGAAGGTGGAGAAATGACACACTTTAAGACGAAGGGAGCAGAGAGTTCTGAAGAGACAACCTCTGACTCTCTGTAGTTTCATATCATCTAACCATGTGCAAAAGATGAAATCAAGTTAAGATACCAATATGATTTCAGAAGTCATCACGTGGAAATTTTTATATTTCTGTCTGTTAAAAAAAATTATGTGAAATTAGGATTGTTCACACCACTTAATTCGACTCATTCTCTACGTTTCATCATAGTCCATCAGAAAAATCTACTTTCTGTATGTGATATATATAGCATTTTATTTTTTTCTTTTGCTACTAGTAATTATTTATGAGGTAGGTAGACAGGAATGGGTGCGGATAGAGTGAGGGAAGGCAACCACAAAGAGCCCGGCTCTGGATACTGAGCTACTGCCTCTGAACCCAGATGCCGGCTCCACTAACTGTACAGCACCCCTGTTCTGGACGATGTCAACTATACCGAAACTGTAGCAAGATTGAAACATGTTCTCATTATTTAAGGTCACAACACTAGTTAAATGGATTTTATTGTGTTTGTGTTAGCAGTATTTATCAGACTGAAGCAATACAATCATCCAACAGCCATCACCATCTTTTTTATACTCTGAATGACTAGCTAGACTGATATCTAAACGGCAGAATTTTAATACCTTCAGAATGATAAAAGATCACCAAAAACAACATCTAAAAAAGACCCTTTAAACGTTTCCCTTCAGAACCTTTGATAACAAAAACTCCCAATGTATAATTTGGCATAGTGTATGAGATACAAACAATCCATAAAGCTGTGTAATGAACTGTTTATGGCCTCCAATCCTGCAGTTCTAATTCAGATTTCATTCATTTTGAGTTTAATGATGTACCACCCTTCTTTTCCACAGGGTGGAGGTGTTTACCCTGCTATGCACCCACACATCGGACTGTTAACACAAGTAGAATACATTCACAACACATCACAAGAAAGAAGAAACATGGCTGCAGTGATCACCTTTGGGGAGCTTTTTCTTTAAATTACTTAATAAATATATCCTCTATGTGTCATGATTCATACAACCAAATGTATCAGTTGTGTTACATTCACTGATTCATTTTACTTTCCTGTGAGATGCATCTGGTTGATTCAGGGCCTTTGTTGGTTTAATTGAACAAGTTATGGTTGAAGCAGAAGCTAATAACTTATATTCAGAGAAAAGGATCTCTGAAAAAATATGTGCTGGGTGGAGTCCGAGAGCCTTGAATGTACCATGCAAGGCAAAAAAAAAAAAAAAAAATACACCAAGTCATTGTCATTTAATCTAATCTTCCTCAGTGGAAAATAAATCCCCTCAGGAATCAGGAATCATGTGTGTGTTTTCGATACAGTAAGGCAAGACTGGGTTTAGAGATGGCTGACCCTAACAGTGTTATTTGTATGTGTGCGTGCGTGTGTGTGCACGGTGTAAATATAAGCCAAATTCCAGTTCAGCCAGACCCACCTACGCCCTGCAGTTCTCTCTGCATTTCTCAGGGGTCTTTACTTTCTTTTCACTCTTGTCTCCCCATTGTTCCCGTTTCCTCCCATTTCTCCCTCAGCCCAACGGGCCGTCCTGAGGTGAAGCCGGCTTCTCACATCACCACCAACGCATTGTGTCCACCCTCAATACACCGCGGAGACAGCCAGGCCCCTGTTGGCGGCCTGCAAGCCACACTGGTTTCACTAATCAGGTCAGATGACAATTTGAGGATGTAGTTGTTTGGAGACACGGAGTTAAATGTTGCACTTAAAGTTAGTTTGTGTGCTTCACAGGAGAGTTTGGTTTTGGAGAAAATCCTCCTAAGTTTTTAATTCACTTATCCAGATTTCCGCTGCCATGGCATTCAGTTACATTTTGTTTACAGCTTTTATAGAGTCTGAACTGCTATAAGAATCTATAAGTCTATAAGCTATCAGTTTTTAGCCTCGGACAGTGTCATGATTTTCTTTGAAAAGCCGTTCGAATGACTGGAGATGCTGATTCAGTTTTACTGAGACAGACCTTTTTGCTCCTGTAAAAGGTGTCATGTTGCACCGTACTCTCTGTTGCAGACAGATTGGGCGTTTCAGAGGCTCCTCCCCAGCAAAGAGAGTCCAGCAGGGCTCACCTGTGAAAGCCGGTGCAGCAGCAACAGTCGCTCTCACCGTCCAGACGAAACAGGACAAAGTCAGGCTGACCAAAGAACTGAGCCACAAGTAAGTCTTTTTTATCACACTATTCTGTTCCCTCACCCAATAGCCACTAAATATTATCCTGGACAATCAGAATTAAACTGAAAGTATTGATAAATAGAATCAAAGCCATCAATTTTCCAAAATAACCTTCTGCAATGTCCATATATTGTTAGGAGAATATATGTAAGGGAACAGTTGGCTTTTAAAAAAATACTTTATGTTTTATTATTTATAAATATTGATGTATCTCACACCCACACAGAGACAGAACAAACAATAGAACAAGGATTTATAGAACTTAAGTTTAGGAGAGGCAATCTATCTACTAAAGAAGCTAAGTTTAACTTTCTGCCCGCTCACAGCTCTGTTTTTATATCAGTCCTGTAATATAAACAGTTGATTAGCTGAGACACAGCTTCGTGTGTGCACCATTCAAACTAAAGTTTCTCTTATTTCCCGCAGAGAACACAATGGCCTCCACCCTGTCAGTGCGCAGCTACACGGTGCGTCAGCCCTCCTTCTCCAGCGTTTCGGTCCGAGACAGCGGACGCAGCCTCCGCTCCAAGTCCCCCGTCTCTCCGCTGTCCACCGTCAACGGCCTGTCCCTGTCCCGCTCCCTCTCCGTGGGCAACGGCCTCAACCTGCTGGGCTCCAGCCTGTCCTACAACGGCCTCGGCACCAGCGAGAAGGAGACCATGCAGGGCCTGAACGACAGGCTGGCCAACTACCTGGACAAGGTGCGCTCCCTGGAGAGGTCCAACGCCGAGCTGGAGGTCCGGATCAAGCAGCTCATGCTGGAGAAATCTCCAAAAGGCCACGACATCGAAGGGATGATGGCGCAGGCGCACGCCATTGGGCAAGAGGTTTGAAATTCAGACTGCAGTGATAAATACACGACTTTTTTTGTGTTGACCATAAACCTTTAAAGCAACTATTTTTACACTGACACAACAAAAAAACTCTCGAGTTAATGTTAAACCACGTTTCCACCGCAGGTGAGAAAGAAGACGCTGGAGAATGCCCGGATCATGCTGGAGATTGATAATGCCAGGCTGGCAGCCGACGATTTCAGGGTCAAGTGAGTGTCACACAGAGCTTCTTTTCTTTTACCCGCCTGTGAGGGTTCACATGGGAGCGCCAGACTGCGGAGCAATGTGAATAAATGACCCTCCTGTCAGGCAGTGGAATAAGAGCTCCATTCTCAGGCCGCTCAGGCACCAAACAACCAAGCCATCAGTTCTGGGAGGCTGTGATAGATGATGCCGGTCAGAGAGACACCGTCCAAACAGTTGGCAAAGCAAAGCTGGCTGAATGATGGAAGAGTCAGGGTGCGCCCACAGATGGTGCTTTTCACAATGTGTCGATGGTATGTTCTGCGGTTTGATGTGTGGGGGAGATGCATCGATCGACAGTGACAAATGATACTAGCAACAAAGTGCATGTGGACTTAACATGCAGACTTCACATGAGGTTACATGATACTTTTCACATGTTTGGGTTGGTATCTAAGAACATAACGATAATAGGTTTCGGAAATCTGTGTATCAAATCTCATACATACAGCATTAAAGGGCTCCATCACTTCAATTCACTGTTGTTTAAATTTGATGAGAGTTTTTCTCATCACCGATCATCATTAAATCAACATCTTAAGCCCTGGGGATGGAGTTGTCTCTGGCATCCTCACAAATATCTTTACGATAGTTCAATTAGTATCAGCTGAATCTTTTCCGTGCGTCTCTCTGCAGATGGGAGACGGAGGCCACCCTGTGTCAGTCGGTCGAAAGAGACTGCCAGGCCCTGAGAAGAGCAAAGTCCGACCACGACCAGCTCATCGCCTCCCTGCGAGGAGACCTGGACAGCCTGAAAGAGGAGCTGTACTTCCTCAAAAAGAATCACGATGAGGTGCGGCCCCTGCCACAACACAGGGAAGCTCAAAACAGAGCCATGTGATCCAAGCTCATTCAACCACATAACCTCTTTTAAAGATCTCATACATCGCTCTTTTTAAAGATTATTTGAAGATCATGGCCCGGGCCCCATCCCAACAAATTAGCATAAACCAGCTCTGTGCCAATGTTTGCTCACTTAGTCACAAAGTGGCTGATACTTGGTAATGTTACAGTGTCACGTACAGAGACACACCCTGTGTATTACGCCTCAGAGCAGGGAGATGTATTTATACAGCATAGAAGTCTGTCCGGCCACAGCCACTGTGTTTGTGTTTGGGCAGGCAGGTGTGGTGTCACGGATGTTCCCTCACACTACCCAGAGCGTCTCCATATCAGAAAAATTTACACTGTATATTTAGTTGATGAAGTTTTATTATAATGATTATTTTTTCAATGTACTGTAATAATGTGAAGTTGCAAAAAATCATTAATTGTATGAAGGATCGCTACTGGATCCAAAAAGTGTTTTTTAATAGAAGCGAGTTACATTTATGAAAGAAAAAAAAGATGTTATTTATGGAAAGAATATAAATATGTTATTTTTTTCTGACACTTTTAGCCCTCAAAGGTACAAACTAAAATGTCCCTGTGTTATAGAAACTTAAATGAAATCTTAAAAGATTCAGCGTGTGGGGGAAAATAATGGGGAAAGATTTTTAAACATCAGTTTGTCATTTGATCCAGATTGCTGGTCATCTTTTTACTTTCTAACTTTTGTTAGAAAGTGAGGTCTTTTGAGTTTGTCCTTCCGCCGTAGAAAGGCTCCTAGAAACAGATTTCACTGTACACATAATGGACTCATGATTGCAGAGGTCTAATACATACAGTATATATAGAAAAGCAATCAATTTAAGAAAAACCTTTTTCAAATCAAGGATTCATTGTTTTGATAATGGACAGTATGTGCAGTCATAGATGAACCATTTTTAAAACTCCAAACTGCGTACATCCTGTTAGAAAATGATGAAGATGGAAAGTACAGGCACTCAGCAAAGGCTCGATTTAGATGAAATCATCTCAAAAACCCAATATTTCTCCTAAAATCCATGTGAAGTCGCTTGTAGCTGAAGTATATTAACACTAATGATGCACCAAGCAGAACTGAAATAATCATATATTAGCAGCAGCTGTGACAATAATCCCTGATTGTAAGCAGGGTTGTGAGACCAGTTAAACTACAGGAGGACACTGCACTGTTAAATATGGATTGTTCATGCTCCTTTTTTCATCACATCAGGAGATGATTGCCCTGAAGGCCCGTCTGGCCACTGAGCAGGTGAGCGTGGAGGTGGATGCTGCTCAGGGCCCCGACCTGGGCGCCATAATGGCTGAGCTGAGGGTCCAGTATGAGGGCATCGCTCGTAAGAACAAGGAGGACGCCGAGACCTGGTACCTCAAGAAGGTCAGCGTGAATCATTTCATTAGATCCTTGTGCTGTGTTCGTGTGGTGATTTGAACAATGAAGCATTTCGTTCCGATCTGTCCGCAGCTGGACGCGGTCCAGTCGGAGGTGAAGGAAAGCAACGAGGCCCTGCGCTGTGCCCAGAGCGAGCTCAGCGAGAGGAGACGCTTCCTGCAGGCTCTGGAGGTCGAGCTCGACAATCTTCGCAAACAGGTATGGCTGTATACATGAAAAACAGCCTTTTTTTCTCATGGTAGCACCCTCCTAAACATAGTAATTAACAGTACTTTGGGATGCCTCATTGACTACCACTCCCACACTTCTTTAGAGCTCAGCTCTATCCATACCTTCTCCACTGATCTGCTGACATGTCGGGACAGTCTATGAACAGCTGCTTACTCTTTGTCTGCATAAAGCTATATGGACATGTAAAGTACACAGCGATTTCCCTGATGTCCCATAATCAATCACTTTTGTGTAGGCATAGACACAAACAAGCCGGTGTTTTGTCAGTGTCTCCTGTGAGCACAGATCAAACAGCAAGCTGCAAAGGCACAAATGGCTCTCAAATGTTTGCTCAACCTGATAGTGAGCTCACGACATTGAATTTCCGCATATAGATATTACTTAGCTGACAGTTTCCCATCAGTCTGGTTGAAGTATTAGTATGAGTGAATAGATGTTCCCAGAAAAGGAAAGTGTACAAAGCAACACTGTGGGCGGTAAGCCACTGGGGGACGTTGTCTGATCACCGTGACACGTTTTGTGTTGTGTGTGAACAGTCTGCGTCGATTCAGCTTTCAAGCTTTCAGCCTCATCTGTGATTACCTGTGGATCAATGCTGCTGTTACAGTGCATGTTGACTGTGCCATTAAAGGTGCAGTATAGTCAGGCGGTAAGATAACCTCATCAAACAAAGCCATCACGACAGAAAGTTTTTAGGCTTACTTTGTGGTCATAGTAACAGACATTTACAGAACAAGTCCAATGCTTGCATATTGTATTTAGTTGTCTCTTGTCAAGGCCTCATAAACCCTTAAGCTGATTGTGCTATACACACTAAATCAGGGTTTATTATTGGTTTCTTTCAGATATACCATTGATCATTAACACATAACAGCTGTATGGTTTGATGACAGTGTAAATGTTAAAAAACAAAACACAGAACTTGACATAGAAATAGATCCAACATCTATCCTGGACCAATCTAAGAAAATCAGACTGTGCCTATTCTAAATCTTTCAATTCTAACATTTTGCCAGAGCTGCCACTCATTCAGGTAATCGTTAAACAGCATGTCAAAAAAACAAAAGAAAAAAATTCTAAAGGCTACTGCTGGAGTAATGCTTCATGGGATGAAACCATGTGATAAGTGATCAGTTTGTGTCCCACAAGGACGTCCCAGTAGTTACGCGCTTGAGTTTAATGAACCCAGAACTAGCCCTTTGCAAGATCTAGCTTTAAAACATGGAATCATCTCAATAAACTGAAAGATATGAGTTCACACAATTCCCAAGCTGTTGACCGGTTTGACCCAAAATTAGTTTGGACACACATTACTAACAGATTATTTAATTTCTAAAAACTATGAACAGCCTTTCTTTAAAAAAACAGAAGTTGGTGGTGAAATTTCGCTCATAAAGATGCAAAGAAAGTAGCACATGTGGAGCCTGCTTTGGGCTTCAGTTTTTATTTGATTCACTGTAATGTAGAATGGAGTAAATGTTTGTTATCTGTAAGTGTCTTTGTACTGTGTTAACAGGTCAGCGTGCTGGAGGGAAACCTTGGAGAAACAGGACACAAGTACTCTGTGGAAATGGACCGCCTTCAGGCCACTCTGACTCAGCTGGAGGACGAGCTGTCCCATCTGCGTTTGGACATGCAGCGCAACAAAACCGACTACGAGCAGCTGCTGCGCATTAAGCAGAACCTGGAAATGGAGATCGCCACCTATAGGAGGCTGCTGGAGGGGGAGGAAATGTAAGAAAAGTGGATAAAACTGTGTTCAAATCCAATGTGTCTTTCATTTACTGTTCAGCTTTCCACTCATAGATGTTTTCTCCTGAGTAATATGTTCAATTTAAAGTAGATTTTCCTTTTTGCCACACGGAAGTAGTTTGTGCATTTGTATCTCAAATGGAGACAATGACTTTACCCCCAAACACCTTTAAAGTTCACTAATTAACTATGAAAACTGATGAAATACATCTAATCACTTTCACTGATGATACATTTCTTATGTAAATATATGAAACAGTGACGTTTTTTGGGGAAAAACAAAGCGACTTACTGTAGTTTAAACATTCAGGAAGCACAGTGATTACAACTTATACACTTTTATTTTGCAGGGTGAAAGAAACCCCTCCTCCTCCCAAAAGTAAGTTTAGATTGTTTTCTTAAAGCACAGTTGTTTGAATGGTAACGGTGGACGGTACTTACACACCTTGCCTTTTTTTGTGTGTTACAGAAGATCCCGAGGTCAGGACCAGAAAGATTGTTAAAGTCGTCACTCAGACCGTGATCAATGGCAAGGTGGTCGATGAGTCCAGTGAGGTGGAGCAGATCGAGGAGAAGAAAAAATGAGCCAACAGGAACATCCATGTCTCTCAAATCCAAAACAATATTTGACTGTGCCTTCACTGGTTGACTACATTATTGTCTCCAAATGTTTTGGTGCCAGAAGCCATTCAAATAATCTGAATATTGAACTAAAAATTAAAGCTTGCTCAGTTAGTGGCTGTGTGCTGTATTTCAATTTCATTTAGAATATTCCAATACATTTTTGTGGTTTGTACTTGTTTATTAATTTTTGGGGTTATGACTTTACATTATCAACTTTTAAGTTATGACATGTCATACGCTGGATTTTGTTCAGCGCCCTGAAATGCATCTTTAAAGTCATATGTTCTGACAGAATAAATGAATGGAAAGAAAAACAGTGCTGCAGCAGAGAGATTTTTTTCTTGGTGCTGATGATACTGTCATTTGTCTTTGGAAAATTTTAAGAGCATGACTTTTATTTACATTGCAGTAAATCCACTACACTAAAGCTAATTTAACAGTGGAAATACAATCTTTAATAATCTGAAATATAAGGACCTTAGGGCTAATTTTATTTCACTTAGTTAATATCTGAAAGTATTTATTAGATGTTTTCCTTGTTCTACATTTTTACGGGAATAAATTAATATATTCAGACTGATTTACAACGTTCAGGAAGTACTTTGTTTTAGGAGATAAAAAGTCACACATGACAGAAACAGCTAACCCGCATAACCCTATGTGGAGTGTGTAAGAAAGTTGTGTGTACATGTAACTACAGCTTTTTTAAAACACCTGACACACGCTCAAGGTGGAAAACACCCTCAACAGTTGGTAAAAAATATTCATATAGGTCAGTAAGATACTGTAAAAGCAGTTCAAATATCATGACAACACACAAGAATTAATGCCAAAGGTTTCACGTTTTTAACTGAGACTGAAGCAGGAGATTTTCTTGGTGTCAGCTTTCAAGATTTAGATGATTTTTCGTTTTGTTTGTTTTGTGAAGGTCTCTTTTAAGCCATGTCCCATGAAACCTGATCGTGTCCTAGGTAACAAAGCACTCAGTGTGCAATCATGCTGTCATTTGGGGATTTCAGCCACTTTGTCTTCTATATCTGATCACTGAAGCATTTTGTAAGAGAAGTTTCTCAGAGGTGTTTTCTTTGTCTGGTGCAGTAACTGTATGTTATTTCTTAAAGGAGGATTTACATTTAAACTACAAAAAGGCTGGGACTGAAAATTCGTTATAGGCTTCTATAAAGTACGATTGGTTTAAGATCTCCAGGATGTGCCGACGTTCATTAAATTTTCCTAGTTGTTTTGAGATGTTCAGAAATTGAGAACTACGGTAAAGTGAATGGATTGGACAGAATTTAGAAATTTAAAACAGACCATATCATCTGTGAGGAGTGCTATGCAAAAAATGTTATCTTTGTTATCAAGACAATGTCAGAATGGAAATTTTAAGCTAGCTATTTTATACAAAGGGTTAGGGTTAGGGTTAAAAAAAACAAACAAATTAGCTCATGTGTCTCTACCTCTTTGGCTTTTAGAACCAAAATGTCCCAAACTATAACGAGGAAAATAGTTTTTGGACTTATCAAGTACTACTTGTAGATTGAGCTAAGTGTTCTGTGATAGGATCTCATTATCAGTCAGTCTTTGTGACAGAGTATGAGGATTGGAAGCTGCTCACAGAGAAAGACATGGCAAAAACTAAATGCAGAAAAGAGAATGTTTCTTTCAAAAGATTAAACCAGAAATGTTGCTCAAACTTTTTTCTCACAGGGCAAATTTGAAAAAAATCTGGCTACATCTATTGGTTAAAAAAAAGTTATACATCACTCCCTAACAAAGACATAATTTAGACACGATGTGCCCACTGAGGTCATGTGTTGTCCTTTTTACACTCAAAACATGTTTTTTTGTCTTGTTTCAGTGTTTTAACTGAATTTCTATAAAAGGAACTGTTCCATTTATCTGGTCCTTCAGCTTTCAAGTAAAATGTTATTGATACATATTCACCTATTCAGTCTCATCCCTCTCTAATAGAAAACAGAAAACCATACCATAACATCATCTTGCATTGAAATGCTTGGGGTTGCATTCTGGGAATCTTTCTGTAATTGTGTTGAAAGGTGCTAATGACGGAAGGAGAGGAACGCTGGCTTAGAGGGGGCACAATGTCACCTTTGTGCGAATTTTCTGTAAGTTGTCACTACTGTGTGAAAACACACAAGCCCTGCGTGAGCAGTCACCAACGATGTCTCAAACTGGAGCTCATAAAGTGTATTGTTTTTGCCACCTCGATGAGGAGCTTGTAACCTCCAAACATAGCTCTTTAAGAGTATATTAACTCCCAGACTGTCCACACTACGCCAACACAAGATTTACAAGCTCAGAGAAGAGGCAGCAGATGTGTCTGGAAAGAAAAGAAAGATTGTCCACAGACAGTTGCCTCTCAGATATGGAACAAAGTATTCTTTGTTCCATAAGCAGAAAAGCATGAAGGCTTTTATACAAACTGATTATTGGAATGGTTTGGAATCTTAAAACTAGTGATGATGTTATATTTTCAGTAAGACTTTATCATATTGGTCCAGTAGCACCTTTGATACTTGCAAAGAGCCACATGAAACAGCAGCAATCTGCATTGTAATAATATGGTGAATGGCGCCCCCTTGTGGTCACATAAAGGCAGTGTACAACTGAAAAAAAACATAAACCAACATGAAGATAAGCTTGTTTTTAAGGATGATCATATCCCTTGAAGCATTACATCTCTCACAGCAAAACGATAAAATCTTATGCCACGATTTTGTCTAAATGTTTTCGTGTCAAAATATATACAGCCTGACGTAACGTTTATGTTTTTGTGCTGTCCCAAGTTGTTGTCCAATTGCGCATGCGTGGATACTATTTACCTACGTTGGAGTCACACAAAATTAACAATTTTCCTTAAGGCAGACCACCGTGGTGTGGGACCCTAATGACCACACTGTCATAAACGTTAACCACCATGTAAGTTTAATGTTAAATAACGGGAAAAAAAGGTTATTTTTATGAATAACTATTTAATTATAACGAATAAGTTATTTGTGTCTAAGTGACAGGTAACTTCTTTGTCCAACTTTTAGTGCATTGTGACTAAGCAGAAATTTAAGCTAGCCAAACAAGCTAACAACAATGTCAAATGCTTATTTTAACGTTCCTCGGAAGGATTTTGTTTACCGTTACTTATGTAGACTTTTTTTTCTTGTGGTGTGAAGTATTGGTAAATACAGTTTCTGTAAACTAGCTTTTTACGGTGTTTGTCAAATTTGTTGGCAGGTGTGACACCAACTATGCCCCACCCGAGGTCTTCCCTGCCATCAGATATAAGGCTGTTGACTACGTGTTTGAGGTAACATCCTGGTTATGCTAATTCTACATATGAATATCTGAAGCTAATTTATTTTTCCTCCTTTTATTATGTGTTCTTGAAGACTAGCACCAGTATGAAGGTAACCATGAACCTGCTGGCTCTGCCAACACCTTATTTAAGTGGGAGCAGTGCTCAGTATCCCCACGATGGCGAGCTGCCCGACATTAGCTACAGGTCCCCCTGGATCAGAGGTGGGTAAGAGTACAACTCACTGAATTTACAGATTTTTTTTACTCAAGATATTTTTTATTGAATTTTACATAAACAAAAAACAGAGCACAGTTATAAGATGTTACAAGGTGGGCTTGTAAAAGCCAGAAAGACAAGTTGTTCATACAAAAGTTTGTTGTGTCATACAGGATATAGACTTCACAAATAAAAAAAAGTGGTATGACAACTACAGTAAAACAAGTCAAGTAGTGAAGCACAAAGATATGAATTTACAGATTTACTGAGGCTTACCATCAAAACGTTCAGTGTGTTATTATTGGAAACCACCCACGCCAGAAACCTTTTTAAAACATAAAGAATGAGACAAGATCATATTATAACATTCAATCATATTTTATTTCAAAAGGGAATTCAGTTTAACTTTAACAGGAAAAGCTCTTAAATTTTGAGGAAACAGAAAACATAGAGAAATGACTGTGAGCACCTGCTTTTCAGCACCCAATGTTTGGTTGTTTTTTTTATAGAGATGATCATTTTGAATATTAACCTAGCAATGTAACTCTAAAATTTTGGGGTAGAGAGAGCAAATTAGTTAATGAACCTGAAGCTTGAGTAAGCTTTACTTTTCGGAAAAGGGCTGGAAAACCAAGACAGAACCGTTTTGATCTTCAATAACAAATCCAGATTGCATTTTGTTTGATGAGAGATTTATGTAAATCAGTCATATCTCCACAGTGAAGATACAAACATAAAAAATAAAAAAAATCAGCTGGGTTGGTGAAGTGGGAAACCAGTATGAAAAATACACTTTTAAAATTATTTTTCACAGTCATTGGCTCAGTATCATTTCAGCAAAGGAGGAGAAGTTGCATTTGAATTGCTGTGCTATTTTTTTGTGACGTCATTTTGAAAGATGTGTTAATGTTTCTTTTCCCTCGACAGGAAAGGTGATCTCCTCCTGCACACTCTCTGTTAGTGATTCTGTGCTCGATGACCTTTGGAGAGTAAAACAACCAATACCTTCATTGGAAAGGTTCCTCTTTGACACAGTTGAATCTCTGTTGGGGTGTTTCTGGAGGTTTTGATAAACAGTTTTTGATAAACTCTAAATTTCAGATATCTTGTGGAAAACGATCAGGAGGTGATACCCAGCTCTAACCCAGAGTCCCTGAAGGAATCTGACTTGGATCAGAACGTCTGCCTTTTAAAAAAGCCACACATCAATGATCGATGTGAGGAATCGTTTGTCAAGTTGACAGCTGGCCAGATGAAAGAAGGAAATACAAACAAAGGTCCACACCGATTTAATTTCAGCACTGATTAAAGGAAATACACGATTGATGATATTTAGAAAACCAGTTTTGCCTAATGGAACCTACTCTGATGCAGATTTCCTAATGCCAAATGAGCTCGTACCTTCTGATCATCTGCTACAGCTGAAGAGACATTTACCCACGCTGAAAGCCATACTGTCCCGACTGAGGACGCTTCATGTGGCTGACCCCCTGCTGAGTTCAGCAGGAATCAGAATCTCTGATGACGCCACGTTCAGGTGTCTCAAAGCTCTACTCTCTAACAGAAACTTCCTCTGTCTCTGTGTGATGTTAAAACCTTTTGGCGTACAGCTGTTTCAGGAAACGTGCATCTTATGAAAAACCTCAAGACATGGACACAATCAGCACTCAACCCTCTGAAAACATTCGCGAGCAGTTTGTTAAAGAGTCAGTTTTGGAGGAAAAGGTAACTGAGCCTTATAATTGTTGGGGTATCTGACTATTTTACTGCTGATCGTTCTCCCTCTGTAGTTTCAGTTGTCACCCGTGGTAGTGGACACTCTTCAGCTGAACACACAGAACTTCACTTCCTTTTCAAGCATCCGTGGTCGTATGAATACTTCTGCTGAACCACTGGACGAGCAGTTTTCAGTTCTGGATGTACTGGATTTCATTAAAAGTGAGATTAAGATGGGAATGTTTTTTACAAACAGGCATCTTGCATCCAAACAAATTAGGGCATAAACTGCAATTCATTTGGTATTCTTTCAGAGTCCCTTGCCAACAAGTCAACAGATATTTTCCAGTATGATGTACCACAAGAAAAGGGCAAAGACTCAAAGATGATTGGAGTCCTGATGGAGCCAGAGTTTGCAGGTACAGATTACACAAAAAGTGAAAACAAACAGAGCAAACATTCAAAGCAGACCTCGCCAGGCATGTAGGCTGAATGTAAAGTTTCTCTAAGGGCCCCTGCTGCCTGCTGCTGAAATGGAGCTGGATGTGACTCTGAGCCCGGCTCCTGGTAAAAGGCCTGCTCACATCTGCGTGTCAACTTCACAACTCCTGGAGGAGGACGCATCTCCTATTAGTGGACTGTGAGTGATTTCATTCAGATTTTTAGGGGGGAAATTTCACATTTTTCCTCCCAAGTCAACACACTGAACGTAATGTGAGGACATAGGTTGTTACGTCGTTATGTCTGTTGAGAACTGGATGTGGAGAGATGCTGCTGTGACATATAACGTCAAATATTGTTTTCTAGGCCTTTGTTGTCAGCAAAGACTCAGAAGGAGCTGAAGGTGGAACTTTGGAAATCTGAGAAGAATCTAATGTTCGTGGCGGCCTTTCTCTTGTCAGGTAACTGCATGTTTTGTCCTTCCATGCCTATTGTGAGAAGGGAATACTGATATAGACTCTTTAAAATGCAAGATACATATCCACTGTGGATTAAAACAGAAACCACACTGGACACATCTGTTAGTTTGTGGGGAACGTATCCATTAGCTGTCTGAAATGTCTTAATTGTTCACGTAAGACACAACCTCTGAATTCAAGAGAGGTCCTGCAGAGGGCTTCGGCCTCAAACGTAAGGGGGTGCAGAAAGTTTTCAGACCACTAGATGTCATCATTCTTCATTTTATTTTTAAAACGTTACATGCTCTTTGTCCATGGGAAAACACATAGTGTTAATGTCTGCTACTGCAGAAGAAGAATTATGTCTAAGACCTGATATGGTCAGTTAACAAAAGCTCAAAGATCAAAGCAGTATATTCATTCATTCACACTTCACTCACTTAATATATTCATAGGGCACTGATAGCCCACAACGTAACTGCAGGCAAATGTCTCACACAACAAAAACCAGTATGGCTCTCAAGAGCATGTCAGAACAATTTGTCCTGTCCTAATACAAATCTTTAACACAACAGCTACACACCATTTAAAAAGTGTCGTAGATTAGCATGGGATTAGCTAAATCAACTCAGATGAAGTCTGTAGAGTGAAATAATCACATAAATCATATCCGATTAACTGATTATGGGTTAGATAAACAAAAGTGTTGGGTTTTGTTCATGACTGATAGACAGGTAAATGCCTCGTGACTTACAAATGTCATCTCACTGAGCGTACTCATTAATCTACAAAGTGCGTTTGAACTCCATATTTTCTGACAGAGCCTCAAATGTATGAGCCAGCTTCCGACTTCCAGCCTCTGCGTGAAGCCCTGACAGCCATTAGATTACAGAAAGAAGAAGTAGTCACTGCTGTGGACAGTCTGAATGTACAGGTGGATCCAAGAGTCTCCCAAGGTTTGAACTGCAGGTGTGAGTTCACAGTTAACTCCAAGTCTAAGTTAAGCCCAACCAGGGAGGAGGAAAAGGAAGCATTCACAAAACTGCTGCCTGAACATGTGGAAGGTGAGTCCCGCATCAGAGCTTACATAGCATAGTGGAGGGTGGACCTATTGCACAGTTCAAGAGAAAAAAAAAGGCATAGCTCATAGAAATTATATCAATTGTTTGTACATTTACTTAGTTTGATACTTACCAATACCAAGCATGAATGATTCAATGTTTATCACATGCAGAAAATACAGTTTCATGTGCAATCGCTTTTCTCCTCTGATTTCAGACAGATCCCCCCTGCTGGACCTCCATGAAGAAACCACTGTTGATAGATCAGAGATCACCTTCATCTCACACACTGTCACCACAAACTTTATGGGAAAAGAAACTGCAGCAATCATCAGCATTGAAGAGGAAATATCAGAAAAGAGGACCTCTGCTCACACTAATAACAGAACTGGTGAATGTGACTGGAAGGTGGAGCCATGCGTAATCACACCTGTGCTGAATACCAGAGTGACTCCAACAAGTCGTCACGAGGTCTTCAAGAGACATCAGACAAAGAACGACCTGGATCCTCTGTCCACCTTCATGATGCTGAGGTCACAGCAGAAGCCCCCAGTCGCCGCAGCACACCAGAGCTCAGACACCACCACAGGTACACTGAGCTCACTGCAGAAAGAATATTTTACCATTTAAATTGGACTGTTTATAGTACAGTTTACAGGATTGTAAAATGTGAGATATCAAGATAACCTGGGAGTTATCTATCAAAAAGTTATTTATTTATTCATCAAAAGTCTATGTAGCATATTATAAAGTAATAAACTCACTAAATTGGGTCAGTTTGTAAGAAATGGAAGCTCCAAGTTCTCTGGGAATCACTCAGTGTGGCTAAAATAAGAGAATAGATGTAGAGAGGAAAACCTGATTAATATTGTTGTTTATTAAAATATAATTGACTTTTTGTTATTTTGGACAGTTAGTCATGTAAAGAAAAGAAAGCGACTGACCAAAAGATGTAACTGTTGGATGCTTTGTTAGTCCAATTACTGACAACTCACTTTTTAAAACTCTTCTTCAGAGGAGAGCCGACAAACCGCACAGAAGGAGCTGCAGCCCTCTTCAGAGCGGCTCCAAATGTCTGACAGGAGGGCAGAGTACACTGATATCGCTGTGGTGGGAGAAGCCTCCAGAGATCTGAAACCTGCTGCTCAGTGGCGGAGTAAACCCCTGGATCTGCCCGTCAGTGTGTCCCAGCCACAGGACAGACAGACGCTGAGGGTGGTGCAGGTTCAGGCTACAGGTTAATACACACAGTTAATACACACTGCCAAAGCACATTAGCGCAATTTACTTTTCGCTTCGTTTTTTCTAAAAATTTTTATTAGAGGTAAAAACATTTTCTATAACATAATTCCAGAATACCTACGCAAACTATACAAATAAAAAGTAGCTCAGATTTGATCATTTGGGAATTAGCTAACTAAATAGATGGCTCTACTTTTGAACACTTGGCTGCTAAATCTGATAGTAAATGCTTAATGCAGAATTCAAGTGAAGCTATACAGGGTCTTTTATAACAAAGAACAAATCTACTCTGCAGTGTCAGTGTGGAAAAAGGAGTTTCAGACAGTGTTTAATATGTGGTTTTTAAACCCACTTGGGCACACAGCCAGCCAGCTGCACGTCTACTGCGAGCTGCTGGCCTTTGCTCGGCCGTATTTAAGCTCCGCCAGAGAGATGGGACTTAACTTCCAGAAGTCGGTGGACTTCAGCTGCTTGGCACCGGACCAAACGCACTTCCTTCTCAAACAGCAGGAGAGGGCCCTCTGCAGGGCTCCCGCTCAGAGTGCAGACCTGGTCAGGGGTAAGCCATGTTTACGACAGCTTTGTGTTCATTTTGTAGTACTTTATCTGTGTGTCTTAATCTATCAAACCTTCACCTTCAGTCCACATAAAAGATGATGTTGATTACAGATCAGGAGAAGCTTTTCAACCAGGCCGCTCTGATCCATATGCTGGTGTCGTTCAAAGAGCTGCTGCTGAAGTGTGATATAAGCCCTGCTCTGGGTCAGTATAATTAAATGTTCACAAGCCTCAACTGGACTGGCCTGGTGCCAGTGGAGAATAAGAGCAAAGATTGCAGTGACACCTCAGTGTAGCATTTTTTAGGAATTGATTGTAAGAAAAAATTGGACGAAATTAATACTTTATCCTTCAGTTTTCCTCCCTGTTTACTGAAAGGTAGATTAACAAAATGGGGAAAGCGTTGGGGTCCCGACTTTTGCTTGAATGTGTTTGTAAATCTAAAATGCATGACTGAATAATTCAAATAATGATTCTTTCCCGTCCCATAGAGTACCTGACAGAGGCAGCCAAAGGCTGTGCGGAGCAGAGCCTGAAGCGGCTGCTGAAGAGGCTGCAGGTCATCCTCTACCTCAGCCGCAAGAAGCAGGAGCCCAACCTCAAACTGCTGGAGCTCCAGCGGCTGCTGGCCGAGTGGCTGCGCAGCAGGACAGGCCACAACAAGAACAAGGTCACTGTTTACCAAGAGACAAAACCACACGTTTGTTAACCCCTTAATAAATCCTGGATGCTTTGTCTGTGTGCAGGTCCTCGTCATACACTCGGTAGACTCGGAGGACAGCAGATCAGAGATCAGCAGCAGCTTGAACCAAGTGACAGGTGAGCCGTTTTTATCTTATGGACAGAACTGTTATCGGGTCATTAGTAGCCCAACTAGTGAACACACCTAGAGCGGATCATTAATCCAAATGCGTAATGCCAAAGAAAACGGCAGCTGCAGTGATTTAAAAAACAAAAACAAACAAAAGTCCAGAATAATGTGTAGATGGAACAGTGGAGTTTGTGTGGCTGTTGTTGCAGGTCTGGACGTGACTCCGGTTTGTCTGGATGAAGGCCAGAAACAGCTGAACGGAGCCAGCGTGGTAAACAGGTATCAGCGTTTCCAGCTTCCAGATTGTTCTGAAATAAATCGTAAATTAGTTTATGAACATTATGAATTCAAAGTATGCTGTTTGAATAGCGTTGATTAATTATAATAAATGCTTTCGTCCTGCTCTGCCAGCGTGGGCAGCAGTGACTGTGCGCTGGTGTGTGAGCGGCACATCGGTCCAGACTTCCCCTGGAGCTGCTTCTCTCTGGTGGTGGAGCTGGACCGTCCAGGCCAGTCTCCCTGGTCCAGGGTCTGCAGGGAGAGGAGCCTCAGCCACCTCAGCTTCAGCACCAGCATCTCTGACTCTGGTGTGCCACGTACAAACCAGTCACTCTCTCTCCAGACATTTTCTGTCTCCTTTTAATGTGCATTCACTCTCCTAAAAACACAGAGTGCGCCCCCTGGTGTCTGGAGGATCACGTTCCCTATGTGCTGTTTGTGACTGAGGGCCTTTTAAACTGTCCCCAGCTGCTGCAGACTCTGGAGTCTGGGTAAGCTTTTTTAGGAGTTTAAACAGGCAAAAGGTTTTCATGTTCAAGTTTTCAGATGGCTGAAAGTGTGACTGAAAATCAGCTACCAAAGACTGTGGATGTGTAGTTAGTTAAAATATTTCAGTAAGCCTTTTTGTTCTGGTCCGACTGTGTTTTTTATTGACAGGAGCAGTGATCATTAATTCCTGAATATCTTTCAGTGGTGGAAACTACCTGAAAAACTGTGATTAGTTTTTCTGTCTTATGAGTACAAACCTATAAACAAAGGTCCCGTTTGGTCAGGCATTCACACTATAAACCATTTAAACGGATGGTTTTTGGAAGCATGGTAATCTGCCATTAACATTTCAATGTCGATTGAAATATTTGACCTCTTATACCACAAAATGCTCAAATACAGTTGTAAGTTGTTGCCATTTTGCCTCGGTGTGCATAACTTGGCCTCCAAACCTACAGAGGTTGTTCAGATCCAGCGTGATGAGGTTTCTGTTGCAGCTTTAATGTGACCGTCCTGGAGAGGAACCACCCTCCAACCTTGCAGGGACTCGGGGGGATCAGCAACTACGCTCTTATCACAGTGGACGAAAGCACCGTTATCATCATTCAGGTTCCAGGACACACACACGCATGCCTAGCTTTTTAAGGACTTCTCTGACAATGTTTGCCCACAGTCCCAGATTATTCCAACCTGACCTGAAAAATAAAGTCTTGTCCTTGAAGTGCCTTTTTGAAAGTCTGTGAGCACCGGTTAAGATGCTAACACACTCCCATCTAAATGCAGGGTCCCATCCAGCATAGTTTAAAATGCTGCTTTGACAAATTGTGAATACTAACTACATAGCTTGAATTCAAACTGTGTGTGTGTGTGTGTGTCTGTGTGTGTCTGTGTGTGTGTGTGTGTGTGTGTGTAGGAGCAGGAAGAACTGTGTCAGGAGCGAGCCAGTGAAAGCCTGGTCATGAGGCTGGCTGCTCTCTCTCTTCAGTACAGCTGCTGTTGGCTCATCCTGCACTGCCCGGACAGTCGGGGAGGCGGGTGCGCATCCACACACACACACACACAGTCATTCTGCTATCAGTTTACTGGATATCACATTGACTTATTATCTTACTTCTCACCCAAAATCAAGACATTACGGTAGCAATTAATTGATTTCAAAAGATTTTGTTCCCCACAACTGCTTCCATCCTCTGTGTCAGTGTGTGTGTGTTTGTGTGTGTTCGTCATGGCAGATTTTCCAGCGAAGCCTTTAACAACTTGGTCTTAGTTTATTCGTCTCTGGTGCTTTTCGGTGGGAAGTCTGAGAATCTGAATGTGAAGGTAAAAGCTGCTGGTCTTCTTGCTGTCTGGACACGTGGAATGTCAGTGATGTAAAAAAAAAAAAAAAGCGGAAAACCTCTAAAACCAAGCAAAGAAAGTCTGTATCTGCTCCTTCCAGGTGCTGATAGTGTCAGAGGTGCTTGAAATGGCCAACTTCATCAACCATATCTGCTTCACCGCCCTGATGTCCAGTGACAGGGACCCGCTGAGCTACCTGACCAGAGACTGGCTGACTGTGATGCCTTCACAGGTGAACCACAGCAGAGAGTTGGCTGCCTCAACACCTGGGTTTTTTCAGTGGATAATGAAGCAGTTTGTATTTATTTAGAATTTTTTCTTCTCAACTTCCTTACAGCTTAATTGTTAGACACCGGTTCCCTAGAGAATTTACATTTAATGTCAATACACACAGTAGAATTACTATAGAACAATGGGAATAACACTAATCTACGGGTAGTACACTGAAGTGAAGTTGTAATGGACAGCTAAAGCCTGATCATCAGTTTAACTATCCTCTCAAAGTGTGCTGTGTTAAAGTGGTATGCGTGTCTGCGTCCCTCCAGGAGGAGGAGAGTCTGTCTCTGTTCCCCTCCATCAACCCTCTGGTCGGTCAGCTGATGCTGAAGCGAGCTCCGTCCCTGCAGTGGCTCCTGGGGGCCCCCCTCCCTCAGCTGGAGGAGCTGCTGCCCGAGGTGCCGCATAAAGTCCTAAAGGTGATGCCGAGCACCCCGAGTGCCACATCTTCCTGATCCTGGTCCTAAATAACTACTGTTTAGGAACCCAGTGTGAAGCTCTTCTTCTTTTGTGATACTGCTTGTATGTGTTGTTATTGATGGTGCTTTTATTGACCCCCTTTCCCCCTCCTTCCTTCCAGCTGTTAATCTGTAAATCTGATAACTGAAGTTATCTGGTCTCCGGGCAGTTTTCTTTTTTGTGCAGCGAGTGGGAATATGAAATACATAGTCAAAAAATAAATTTTAACTGAAAGGGGACTCCTTTCTTTTTTCCACCTTTATCGTACAGGCCTTAATCAGCTTTTAGTTTTTATGAATCTTCTCATTAGTTCTCATTCTCTCCCTTGTTGCAGCTGTTCAGTGACATCACCTCCCTGTACCGGACCGATTCCGGACCGAGTGAGACTAACAGGGACGCCGGCCTGTGGACCCCCTCCGGGGACTGTGAGCCCCTCAGCGGGGACCACAGCGTCAGCCCCCTGTTCGGAGCCGCCCCCGGGGGGGCCGACTTCTGCCAGCAGGCCTCACAGTCCACCGACTTCAAACTGGACCTGAAGTGCCCGTTTGAGGGTCCGGACGTGGACATCCAGAGACACTGGACCAGAGAGGAGCAGAAGGGTCCCGCCTGGAGGAGCAGAGCCAGAGCCACCGGGAGGGTCGTTGAGAGAGTGAGCGATGAGTGGACACCGATGGCCCCACAGAGAGACTTCACCTTTCACCAGCACCTACCGGGCAGTCCTCTCAAACTGGACTTCAGCCCCGTCCTGCAGCCCTCTGACCACAGTCGCAGATCCCTGCACCCCCCCGCCGGCAGGGACCTCCTGCACCCCCTCGACCAGCTCAGTCCAGCTCTAGACGTTCTGTGGGGACACGGTCAGAGTGAAAGTGGGGGCTCATTCAGAGGTGCGGACATGAGGGCGGTTCCAGGGGGCTCCGGGTGCTGGAGGGGTCTGGAGAGGAAGAGGAGCGGAGAAGCAGCTGGTGTGGTGGGACCAGGTACCATACAGATCCTCACTGAATTCAGAACACATCACCACACCTCCACTTTCTCTTTGAACCATTAGAAACAATGCCATTTCTCCCTGTGTTTGTCTTGCAGTGTTGAAACCCGTGAAGAGAGGAAAGCTGAGCTATGAGCGGGTGCCTGGCAGAAGTGATGGCCAGACCAGGCTCAGGTTATTTTAGGCTTGCATGAAACCCCAGGAAAATATAGTTTTTTAAATTAATCTATTTAGCTTTAAGAGCAATTTGCAGAAAAAATGTTTCCTTCGGAATATTGGAACAGCTTTTATCTCTATCAAAAGTCATTGAAAAAATCATATGGCACAAACTTTATTCATTAAACTAACTTGAACACATTTAATTTCTTTATTCCGTTTTTTGTAAAACAATACATATAATCAGGTTATTCACACTATTCAAATTCTCATTTTACACATAAACAGTTGTGTTTTCAGGTTGCTCATAATTAGATTAAATATTAGAGCATTTTCCCACACAGAGCGGACTCGTGGTGAAAAACACAGAGTGATTTATGGATGGAAGAGTGGGATCGAGGGTCTTTCCCAAGCTGCCCTGATAAAGTCTCTCATTTTAGCAGCTTCATTGGTGGGGCTTCTTTTTTTCTCTCTAATGTAGAGAAGCAATCCCCTTATCATGGTCTCACAGCATGTGAAGAGTGCTTATCTTCACGAGCCAGCAGAGTGAAGCCAGTTCCCCCAGGAACGATCCCCAGACAAAGACCACCCCGGGGACACAGACTCCAAACCTCCCGCCTCTGGACGGCCACTTCCAGCGCCAGCCAGCCGCCATCAATAACCTGACAGCCTCTTTTTCTCCTCTTCTCCTTCTCCTTCTTCTTCTCTCTGTGTCTGTTTCGGTGGCCTCTGCCTTCTGAGAGGCGGGGAACAAACAAAGAGAGAAAAATGGTTTGTTTTTTTATTGGCAGAGGAACAAAAGCAGGCAGCGGGGTGGTCGGCGGCGAGGTAAACAGCAGCCTAATGGCTCCTGTGACTACACCCGTGCTCAGCACTGAATGGGGAAGCAGAGATAATGTGGGAATTAACAGGCTGTTTAAAGCAAAGCATCCTTTACACAGGATTCTGCTCTGGCTTCAGCTTTAAAGGTCACTCTGCTGCTATCTTTTATCACAGGCTGCAATTAACTGTCACCTGCCCGAGTCCAGCCCTCTGTTAGAACTGACCAAAGACCTGGCTGCTGTTTGCCTCCGAAGAATGGACTCAAACAGCCATGAATAATTACCGTTTCTGGCTATATCGTTGCACCGGGAAAGGTCAGAATATTACTGCAAATATGTTCTCAGCAAACAGCAAATGCGTCGGGAAAAAGCTGTCTTGCCAACCATGAGAATGTTTCCCCCCAAACCAGCCGAGCGGAACAGCTCATTATAGGATCCATCCTCTGGAAACATGGAAACATTTTTTGGGAATCCAGCGGATAGATGCTGACGTATTTATCTCTGAGCAAAGAGGCGAAACAACAGTTAGATTAGCTTCTATAGCATTTTTTTTTCTCCCAAAATGATACATTTAGTGGCTTAAAAATGTCCTTTTTTTTTTTTTTTTTTTTTTGTATCTTCTTAACTGTCCACTGTCCACTGTGACCTGGGGAAGGCTGCAGGTACGGAGCTCAGCCACCGCCGGGCGTCTGCAGGCGGGTTGCGGCCCCCGCAGGTGCAGCCTCTTGGACGTGCAGCCGGGCCCATGAATGGCCGATTGAGAGAAACGGCCCCCGCCGGGGCCTGTTCTCCAGGACCGGGGCTAATCCCGGCCCCTAATCGGATTATGTAAATTCCCACTCTCACACAGAGAATTTTTACGGAAGGCTGCGTCTTTGAAACAACACTTGAAGGGTGTAAAAAGAACACTGACAATTGGTTTAACTGGACTTGTTTTTTTTGTTTTGTTTTGTTTTTCCCCCATCTGAGCGGAGGTCGAAAGTAGGAGGGAGACGGGGGAAAACGGGGGAGAGGGGAGAGGCTGCGGAGGTGAGTGGGACTCATGGGCCTGTAATTTATGTGTGGCCCTGGAACAAGATTACCATAGTCCCAACAAAACCCATATTGTCCAACTGTCAATCTGGATATGCTATTTTTACCTTTTGTGGCCCAATCAGGCTGAGTCCAAAAGCACTGCCGCCCTGATATCAAGGCCTTTTCCGAGCCGGTTGGGGGGGGGGAGTCCATGCCTAATGTCAGAGAAACAGAAAGGAACAAGTGTCCACAGTGGTAAGAGACACATCAGAGGCTGGAACGTCTCAGTTTCACATTCAGTGGGGAGGTGTCAGACCTGCCAGGATTAAAGCAGCAGCCAGTCATAAATAAATATTCTCTTAAAGGCTGCCGGAACACTCCAGGAAAACATTCAACTAAACACAAATGCTTCACAAAACAGGCAAAAGGGTATTTTTTGAAATCCTTCAAATAGTGACGTCTTTTTGCTGATTGTCCTCTGTTTGTTGTTAGTGTGTGTGTGTGTGTGTGTTTGTGTGTGTGTGTGTGTGTGTGAGTGTATGTGTGTGTGTGTGATTGGGGGGGCAACGATGGCTCCAGCCTCTCATGATGGACGCAGGGCTCCACGTCACACAAAGGGGCTCAGCGCGCTATAAAGCCGGATGCGGGAGGCGTGCGGCGCTCTCAGCCCTGCTCTCTCTCTCTCTCTCTCTCTCTCTCTCTCTCTGCTCGCTCGCCCTCCCTCCGCCTGCCTCTGCCTCCTGTGGATCGCGGCGAGCATGAGAGGACGCCACTGAGTGGACATTCACGCAGGACTCCTGGACACCGGTGACCTGCGCCTGAGCGCTCTGCCTCAGACTTCTGCTCGTTTCCACAGGCCTACACAGGTGAGAGATCACAAGTTTTGTTAAGAGAACGAACGCGTGGATGGAAGATCCTGTTTTCTTTACTGGCAGATTTGGCACAAAATGGAAGAAATTGGTTCTAAATGTCTCTTGGACATTTTTTCTCAAATAGAAAAGCAGCAATATTCAACCAGCAAGTCTGTTCAAAACAAAAATGTTACTTTCTATTATCTGTCTTGTGCTAACAGACATTTGATAAATGGATAATTCAGTTGTTGAAATATCTGTCATTTCTTATTCATTTTGATGAATTATGATTTGGAAGAAGCATTGAGAACCATTTCAGATTTATGTGAGAATTTATTGCTGCTAAATGTAGCGGGGAGACACGGCAAAATAAAAAAACAGGGAGATGTGGATTTTGCGGAAAGCCAATTATTGCATCCTAGTTCATTTTTTATATGAATTTTATTTTTATTTTTTTAAATTGAGGCAGAAGACGTTTTAAAATCTGAGCTCTAAATAAGTCCTGCTTGCCTTCCTCCCGTGTGCTCGGCAGCATGACCAGGAAGGTGTTCACCAACACGCGGGAGCGCTGGCGCCAGCACAACGTCAACACCGCCTTCGCCGAGCTCCGCAAGCTGATCCCCACCCACCCGCCCGAGAAGAAGCTCAGCAAGAACGAGATCCTGCGGCTGGCCATGCGCTACATCAACTTCCTGGTGCAGCTGCTGCAGAGCCAGAGCGGGCAGCCGGCCGCCCACTCGCCCGCCGCCCTGCTGTCCTTCCTGCGGGGCAACATGGAGCGGCTGGGCTCGCCCCCCCCCGCCTGGACCAGCGACACCGAGGCGCCGTCGCCCGGGTCCAGCTGCGGC